CAGTGGTCCACCATATACAAAACTGCGCAAAACAGGACCTCTGGGGTCGCCTTTGATTGTTCCTTCTCTCTGTTGTATATTGTCTCACACACTCCCCAAACGCCTCTCACATCTGGCTTTTCCTCTGGTACTTTACAACCATCACCTTAGCTCAATCCTCCAAATCTCCTGGATGTCAGCAGAAGTCTTTTCACTTCTCTGTCCCCCCTTCATCTCTAATCCAGGCTCCACATTGCTGGCAAGATTGTCTTTGTGGAATAGAATCTGATCATAGCACTTGCTGCCCTCAAGATTTAGATGCTAGGGTGAAGTTGCCAAGTGGGACACCCGAATCCCTGATTGGAGTGTCTGGTTGACATCCCAGCTCCTCTACTTCCAACTCAGCTTCCAATTTGTGCATTATCCTGGGGGCATCAGATAATGGCCCAAGCGCTTGTATCTTTGCCACCCATTTGGGAGACCCAGATGAAGTTCTGGTCTCCTGGTTTTGGCCTGGCCCAGCTCTGGCTGTTAACAGGCATTTGGGAAGTGAACCAACAGATGGAAGAGCTGCCTGTCTCTCTGCCTTTCAATAAAATCAAAATAAATAAATAACATTTTTTAAAAAAAGATTTAGACTTCAATAAGACTAGCTTACTAATCATTTGCACTCTGAGACAGGGCAAATGGCTCTAATCCCACCTGGATCCCTGACTCTCAGGCTCTAGTGTGATGCCTCTCAAGGGAAGGGAAGACAGCACACCTGGCCACACAGGTGGCAAATTAGCCAATACCATTTATGTGATCTGAGGGCGACTGTGAGGTCCCACCTGCCTCAGTATCTTCTTTACCAGCCTGCTGTTGCCCACTTTGCTCCTTCTCTAGGTGAAATGTTGACCAATCAGAGGTACTTCTGTGGTTTACAAGGCAAAGGTCCGAAGGCCCTGTTCTTGCTTCATGTGGAGAGAAAGCCCTTGCAGATGCTCTCCATCTTTCCCTGGCACCTGCAGACTGAAGGATCTGGGATGCTTGCAGAGCGCGCTACATTCATCCAGCAAGCTTCTCCCATCTCTCGCTCCTCTTTCCCTCTGTAATTTCTCCTCTCAGCTGTCACTGCCCCACTCTCCATGTGCACAGGCTTCTTGTGACAAAGGTCTCTGGCACCTAGATCCCAACACTGTCAGAAGACCCTGAGTTTCAGAAATTGCAGTGCTGCCTCTGATGGCTCATGCATGGCATACATTTTTTTGGTTAGTTGGTTGGGTTTGTTTTGTTTTGTTTTGCAACCAACCTTGAACTCTATGCATCCAAAGCTGGTGGAACCTATGAGCTCCTTCTTCCTTCTTGATGAATTCTGGTTATAAGCTGCAGCATAATTTTCACAGCTTCTATGAAGTTTTTAAGAAATATAGGTATTGAAACAAAGTGCTGGATTTATTTTCTATTTCCTTTGGAAAGAAACTTCAGGCATACTCCAATTTTAAGATGCATTTGTCAAATGGGGCTTTGGGATCGAACTGCTAGAATACATGGGCCCTGGATGGCAGAAAAAGTGAGGTGCTGGGGATTACATAAAAGGCCATGTCTATCCATTTGTGCTGCTGTAATAAACTACCACAGACTGGGTAATTTCTAAAGAACAGCAATTTATTTCTCACAGTTATAGAGGCTGGAAGTCCAAAATCAGAGTGCCGGTAGGTGCAGTGTCCACGAGGGCCTGGTCTGCCTGCTTCCAAGATGGCACCTTGTTACTGTGTGTTCACACGGCAGAAGGCGGAGGGACAAGAGAGCACTTTTTCAACGTCCAGCTCTTATATAAAGATGCTAATCCAAGGAAGGGCTCTGCCTTCATCACTTCATCATCTCCCAGAGGCCACACTTGTTGACACTGTTGCTTTGGGTAGTATGTTTCAGCATGAATTCTGGAAGAAACACCATGATTTAAATCATAGCAGGCTGAACATTTTCTTCTTCTTTTGCCAAGTTCTCCATTTCCCACTGATGCAAAATGGAGAAAATAATTTGAATTTCTGTGTTCAGTTTCCTATTCTTGATTCAAGTTAGAGAGAATAGTGCGAATTACATTTTCAGAGACAGCACGAACAATTAGAGTGCTTTTGGTATAAATGTCAAAATAATTTTTATCATAATCAATAGGGTTGTCACACATTAGTCATCCATAAGCATTGAATCTGTAATAATTTGTTCATTCTCCACCCTTGACATTTTACGTTAAACTTGCTGTAGAGGAGAGATTTTTTTTTCAACTCTAGCTGCACAGGAGAATAATCTGGGGAGCTTTAAAAAACACTCTGGACATGCTCTCAGAAATTTTGACTTAATTGCTTTGGAGTAGAAGTTGAGGTGTCAGCATTGCTTGAAAAATTCCCCTGGTGATTCTACTATGGCTTGGTTCTAATGGAACCACTGGTAGAAAAGAAACAACATAGGCTTTTGAGTTGGACAGTCTTTGGTTCAAATCCTAACCACCAAATACTGATTGTGAGATATGGGGTGAGTCACTTAGTGATTTTATGCATGAATGTTTCCTCTGTTTAGGGAAGGTGGGATAGAGCTTAAGGGACTTGCATTAAGGATAAAATGAGATAACCAATCTATGTGAAGTGTGAAGTTGCCTGGCACAGAATAGCAATGCTGCAAATACCTGAGCTTCTTCTCCCCTTTTATATTTGATGCTTCTTCTTACTCGAGTGATAATCCTTAAGCAAATGAGGAGCAAACCCCATGGATGGTCTGTTTAGAGTAGAAGTGGAGGCAGACTGGACATTGATGAGAGGAGGATGAAATCAAATTGAAATTTGCTCTCTGATGGGTAATCTCACAAGGCCTATAAATGACAGCCCCATAATCACAGTCCTCAAGACATCCTGGGATGCTCTGTTTGCTTGATTGAACCTTGTGGCACTGAACTATAGAATCCATCTATGCCATCTAAACTCCTGTTTTGTCCACCTAGAAACAGCCCTGAGATTGCTCTCTAAATGTCTTAAAATGAAAGCTGTGGGGCCAGCACTGTGGTGCCTACTCGTGTCCCAGTTGTTTCTCTTCCTATCCAGCTCTCTGCTATGCCCTGAGAAAGCAGTAGAAGATGGCCCAAGGGCTTGAACTCCTGCAAACATGTGGGAGACCATGAAGAAGCTCCTGGCTCCTGGCTTCAGATTGGCCCAGCTCCAGCCATTGCAGCCATCTGGGGAGTGAACCAGTGGTTAGAAGACCTTTCTCTCTGTCTATAACTCTACCTCTCAAATAAATAATTTTTTTTTCTTGACAGGCAGAGTTAGAGAGACAGAGAGAAAGGTCTTCCTTCCATTGGTTCACCCCTCAAATGGCCACTATGGCCGGTGCGTTGCTCTGATCTGAAGCCTGAAGCCAGGTACTTCCTCCTGGTCTCCCATGTGGGTGCAGGGCCCACAAACTTGGGCCATCCTCCACTGCCTTCCGGGGCCACAGCAGAGAGCTGGACTGGAAGAGGAGCAACCAGGACAGAATCCGGCACCCCAACTGAGACTAGAACCCGGGGTGCTGGCGCCGCAGGTGGAGGATTAGCCTAGTGAGCCACGGAGCCAGCCTAAATAAATATTTTTTAAAGAAAAAGCTGTGAAGAAAGATGATGGCACCCAGGACATCAGTGAAAAACAGAAATGCTGTGAACAAGACCATGACTCATACTCCTTGTTTCTTCTTTGAGGGCTCAATGTACCTTCTCTGGTAATAAACTAAAGATGCCATAAAAACCCTGGACAGCTGAGAATTTCAAAAGGGCAGAGGGTACAGGAGGGCATGTTTTGGGAGAACAGAAAAAAATGATGATCCAATGCTTATGATAAATTAGGCAGTGTGGAACATGACCCAATTAACTGCTTTTGTAATAATTTTGTAGAACCCAGTTTGATGATTCTAGTCACAACTTTTCCCTCTTAGCACTAAAGAAGAAGAGCTAGCCCAGCACAGGGAATGACTCATCACTGCTTTTGCTCCCTCTTCTCTTAAGGATATAGATATTAGGTACCCAATTAGAAAAAAAATCATATGGCTATAAAGAAATGTAGTCTGACTTTGTCTCTTAGCAGAGCAATACTCTAAACTTGTAAATAAATCTCTGATTCATATATGAAAATACTTCGAAAATTTCAGACAGTTGAATTGAAAGATATGTTTATTTTGGTACAAACAACTTTGAAATTCATGCATAACTTTTTTTCTATAACACACATTATCCATGAACTTTTAAATATTCCTTTTTTTCGACAGAGTTGGACAGTGAGAGAGAGACAGAGAAAGTTCTTCCTTCCATTGGTTCACCCCCTAAATGGCCGCTACAGCTGGAGCTATGCCTATCTGAAGCCAGGAACCAGGTGCTTCCCCTAGTCTCCCATGCGGGTTCAGGGGTCCAAGCACCTGGGCCATCCTTCACTGCTTTCTCAGGCCACAGCAGAGAGCTGGACTGGAAGAGGAGCAACTGGGACTAGAACCCGGTGCCCACATGGGATGCCAGCGCTGCAGGAGAAGGATTAACCAAGTGAGCCGGCCCTAAATATACCCTTTATGCATGGATTTCAAATTTTTTTTCATGACAACATAAATTTATCTTTTAATTTCATGTCCATGAGCTTTTGAGGTATCCTGGTATGTTTTTAAAGAAATGGATTACAATTCTCTTATAAAGTTATCATGTAAAGAAAAGTGTAGAGTTTTTTTGGATAGTGTGATCTGAGCGTTTGGACTCAGGAGCAGAACAGGTATCTACTCAAATCTCAGCTCTCCAGTTACAGGTAGACAGCTATTTTGCTAAGCCTTGGTTTCTTCATCCAAGGAATAAGGGCTCCTATGAAATTCAGTAAAACATATGAGTATGTTACTGCCACTGTTGAGGGACAATGCCCAGGGACTGAGTGGAAGCTGGAGAATCAAAGCAGTTCAAAATACGTTATTTGCAGCTTCAATAGAGTTGTTTTCAAATTTATTGATAGCTTTTCATTTCTCTGTGTGGCCTCTTTTAGATCTTTGAAGATCTAAATTCCAGATTTTCATCCAAGGCCTGGTGACTACTTGGTGAACTTCAGGTGAGGATAAAACAGTTTGAAATATTAGCATTTGCTTCTTTCTCTTTACCCTTCCAGGCAGCAACAGGTTTTCCTCCACATGACTTTCAGAAATGGGTTGTTGTAATTTCAATGCAAAGAAACAAAAGCAGTCAGAGTTTAGCTTTTGAGTTTCAATATAGATTTTTTTTGAAACTCATGGCAGAGAAAATAGCTTCCAATAAAAGAGTTTCTAAGAATTAAGCCAAGAGATACCAAGATGGTGGAAAGGGAGGGAGCTTACTGCTTACTGATACTTTAAAAAAAAGGAGAGTGTAGTCTCAAGGTAGAGTTAGGGACAAAACTGCACTGGAAATTCTATAAAGGGAAGAGGATGCTGTGGATCTACATGGAGGGTGTGGACGGACAGCACAAGCATGGACACAACACAGGACCCCAAGAGCTGACAGTCTGAGAGAACACCAGCTCTGGGGCGTGCAGGGAGATCAGCCTGCTGCACTGGGGAGAGCCTGACCTAAGTCTGGCCTGGAGCCCTGTGGGAGACAAGGAAACTGCTAACCTAGAGGGGGAAAAAGGGTATGTTTTTCTCTTCCCAATCTCATAACAACGGTGCCAGGCAACTGGCTGAGAGAAGGCGGGTGCCATTGTGGACATAGGTAACAGCTGTGCCAGCTCATGCCCACGCACCCAGCAATTGGCTGAGAGGAGACGCCTGAGTCTGGCTGGGAGAACAGACAGGGGGCTGGGCAACTATGCAGGACTGTAAGGTGCTCAAAGCCTCTCAACATATCACAAGCTCTGGGGCTCAAACCACCCAGGTGGGACACCCACAAACAGCTGGCTCTGGGAGGGTCTCTGCCTCTCTGTGGGTGGGACAGACTAGTGGGGTGGAGAGGATCCTCTGCACCCCTGTCTGCGGGAGCCTTGTATGCTGACTGTGGGAACTCTGTGACTGAACGGAAGGGTCCACGGTGAAGCTGGTTCTCCGGGCAATCACTGTGAGAGGCTCCACACACTCAGAGCTCCGACTGCCTGGCGTGGGTCACTGCAACAGGATCACTGCTCACAGTGAGGGCTGCACAGATCCCTTGTGCAGTTCTTACGGCAGCATGGATGAGTACCACACCCACTCTGGGCTAACATCTGGGCATTGATCACCTTGGAGAGAGGAGGTGAGGGTGTGACTACGCCAACAAAGCTGATCAAACCTTCCCTTCTGATAAAGAAAGGAGATCTACCACCCCCAACTTGGGTGCCACAATGGATACTGACCCCAGCCTGGAGCACTGAACAGAGTTGCCTGGCCACACCCAGCATACGCCTCTGGGAATTCACAGAAAGAGCAGACATTCCACTAAGTCACAGAGGCATAGTTCAAAGATAAAAGCCATCAGAGGAAAAAATCCACCAAGTATCTCCACAAATGCCCAAAAAGAAACACAGTAATTCAAGAAACAAGAATAAGGAAGACAACATAACCACCCCCAGCAAAGAAACACAACACCACTTCAATATTAGAATATGAAGATGGGGCCTGCGCTGTGGTGTAGCAGGTGAAGCCGCTGCCTGCAGGACCGGCATCCCATATGAATGCTGGTTCAAGTCCTGGCTGCTCCTCTTCTAATCCAGCTCTCTGCTATGGCCTTGGAAAGCAGTAAAAGATGGCACCTGCATGGGAGACCTGGAAGAAGCTCTTGGCTCCTGGCTTCAGATTGGCACAGCCCCAACCATTGTGGCCATTTAGGGAATGAACCAGCCAGCAGATGGAAAACCTCTCTTGCTCTTTCTGCCTCTCTGTAACTCTGTCTTTCAGATAAATAAATAAATCTTTAAAAAAAAACTGTGAAGATGAAGAGATTGATGAAATGCCTGAAACTGAGTTCAAAAGATTAATCATGGGAGTACTCAGAAGCAAAATCATTAATTAAAGAAATCCATACATGACATGAATAAAGATTTTTCCCATGAAATTGAGATTTTAAAGGGAAATCAAAATGAAATATTAAAAATGAGGATTCAATAGATCAAATAAAAAAGGCAATAGAAAGCCTTAAAAACAGACGTGGTGAGGCAGAAGAAAGAATATATGAGCTAGAAGACAAATCTTTGGAAATTTTTGTCAGACCTAGAAAAAAGAAGAAATTAGAAAAATTAAACAGTGTGTGAGATTTATGGGATACTATCAAATGACCCAACACACCAGTCTTAGGAGTTTCCTAAAGGAGAGATAATGGATTAGAAGGCCTATTTAGTGAGATAATTACTGAAAACTTCCCCAATTTGGAGGGAAAAAAAAGGATGGCAAAGTACAGGAAGCACATAGAACTCCTAATAGACATGACCAGAAAAGATCTTCACCACCACACATTGTAGTCAAACTCTCCACAATATAATCAATTAAGAAAATATTCTAAAATGTGCATGAGAGAAATGCCAGGTTACTTTCAGAGGATCTCCAATTAGCTGATTTCTCATCAGAAACCCTACAGGCCAGAAGACAATGGCTAGATGTAGTTCAAGTCTTAAGAGAAAAGAACTGTCAACCCAGAATACTATATACTGCAAAGCTTTCATCCATGAATGAAGGTAAAATAAAGACCTTCCATAACAAACTGCAATTTAAAGAATTAATCACTCATCCAGCCTTACAAAATGTTTAAGGATCTACTACACACAGAAACACAGAAAGATAGTCATCATTATGAAAGAAAGTGAAGGCAGAAAAATTCCCAGTAAAGGTACAAAGGAAGTCCAAAGTAATCAATGGGAATATTTACCCAAAAATGGCAAGGCCAAGTTGTCACATATCAAAAGTCACCTTGAATGTAAATGGCCTCAACTCTCCAGTTAAAAGATACGGACTGGCTGAATGGATTAAAAAATAAAACCTATCTATCTGTTGCCTACAAGTAGCACACCTGACCAAGAAAGTTATACACAGGCTTAAAGTGAAAGGATGGAAAAGAGATATTCCATGCTAACAGAAACTCAAAATGGATCAAAGACCTAAATCTATGATCCAATACCATCAAATTACTTGAGAACATTGGGGAAACCTTGCAAGACATTGGCATAAGGAAAGACTTATTGGAAAAGACCCCACAAGCACAAGCAATCAAAACCAAAATTGACAAATGGGATTACATCAAGTTGAGAAGCTTCTACACTGCAAAAGAAGCACTCAGCAAAGTGAAGAGGCAACTGATAGGATAGGAGAAAACATTTGCAAACTATGCAAATAATAAATCAGTACAAACCAGAATCTATAAAGAACTCAAGCAACTCAACAATAACAAAACAAACCATCCACTTAAAAAATGGGCAAAAGACTTGAACAGGCATTTTTCAAGAAAGGAAATTCAAATGACCAACAGACACTTGAAAACGTGCTCAGAATCACTAGCCATCAATAAAATGCAAATCAAAACCACAACGAGGTTTCACTTCACCCCAGTTAGAACGGCTCTCATACAGAAATCAACAAACAATAAATGCTGGCAAGGATATGGGGAAAGAGATAACCTAATCCACTGTTGGTAGGAATATAAACTGGTGAAGCTCTGTGAAAGACAGTTGGAGATACCTCAGAAATCTGAATATAGACCTACTATATGATCCAACCATCTCATTCCTGGGATTTTACCCAAATCCAAAGAAACCAGCATATGAGTGATCTGTACCCCCATATTCATTGCAGTTCAGTTCACAATAGCTAAGATATGGAATTGACCCAAATGTCCATCAACTGAAGACTAGATAAAGGCATTATGGTATATATACACTTTGGAATACTATACAGCAGTAAAAATGAAATCCTGTCATTTGCAACAAAATGGATGAAATTGGAAACCATTATAGTTAGTGAAATAAGCCAGTCCCAAGAAGACAAATACCATATGTTCTCCCTGATCTGTGAAACTAATAGAGTACTAAAAGGTAATCTATAGAAGTGAAATTGACACTTTCAGATGTGAATATTTTGAGCAGACCTTGTCTTGACTATTGAGGAACTGTGGATTTTTTTGTGCTTCTCTTAATACTATTTGTTAAACTCTATACTTAGTACAGAGTTAATCCCATGAGTATAAAGTTAACTGAAAATAGATCTATGTAAAAATAAGAATGGGAATGGGAGAGGGAGGAGGAAAAATGGTGGGAGTGGGTACAGGAGGCCGGGTAGGGCGAGAAGAATCATTATGTTCCTAAATTTGTATATATGAAGTGCATGAAATTTGTATACCTTAAATAAAAGGTTTCTAGATTAAAAAAAAATAATTAAACCAAAATTTTTGCTTGAGTAAGAGTGCAATCTCTTATGGTAAAGAAACAAGAAAAACAAAAAGGCGTGAATATAGTTTATTTCTCTTTCTTGTTAAAGAAGTCTTGTAGGGGGTTGGCGTTGTCGTGTAGTGAGTAAAGCTGCTGCCGGCAGTGCCTGGCATCACATGTGGGCACTGGTTCAAGTCCCGGCTCTCTGCTATGGCCTGGGAAAGCTGTGGAAGATGGCCCAAGTCCTTGGGCCACTGCACCCACGTGGGAGACCCGGAGGAAGCTCCTGGCTCCTAGCTCCTGGCTTCAGATTGGCGCAGCTCCAGCCGTTGTGGCCAACTGGAGAGTGAACCAGTGGATGGAAGACCTTTCTCTCTCTTTCTGCCTCTCTTTCTCTCTCTGTATAACTCTGACTTTCAAATAAATAAATAAATCTTAAAAAAAAAAAAAAAGTCTTGTAGGCAGGCTAGAGCAGGTATAGTAATAAGAGACTCAGATTTAATTTGCATTTCAGTTTGTCCTAAGCTTCCTTGCAGCCTCAAGATTACCTCCTGGTACAAGATGGTTGGCTAGAGCTCCAGCCATTGTATCCACATATGAGGTTATAGGAACTAGGAAAAGGCAAGAATATCCCTTCCTACTGAGACAGATCACTTGCACCCTTCTCATTAACATTTGTATTTTATCTGTCAGAATGTAGTAGGACAGTCACTGCCTAGCTGCAAGGGAGCCTGGAAAACATAATCTTTTAG